ATGGAGCACCATTATTACTTTTCAAAACGTCATCATTCACCCTGGTTAATTTTACAGCCACATCATAATAAGCCTCTCATTTATGTCACATAGTCAAATGTTCACTTTATCTGGTTTTGTTGCAGCATGTCCCATATATTAATATAGATGTTGTAATAAATGTGGGCAAAAGTTCTATGGTATTAGTATAGGATTTAAAATTTTAGTTCATAGATTGTACATTAAACAGAGCCACAATAATAATCAATTGCTTAGTTATTTGTCAACCACCGCAGCAATTTTGGTTCATAAAAACGTCACCTCGTCTGTACCTGGTTTTGTTGCAATTGCCTCTGTCACAAAGGAAAATGTTGTGGAAAAAAATAGTATTTTAATGGACCAGTTAAAAGCAATGGATGAGGGTCAGCTGACACTCAAAAAAACGCATGCTAACAAAAGAACTGTTCTGCCATATTACCTCCGTTGCCGGCCTAATCATCTGAAAAACGATATTATTGTATCGTGTATTTATGAGAACGCAATGAAAAATTAAATACAATTATTGGTTGTTGAGTTTCATTGCAAAGATATAGGCATTTTGAGTTCGATAAATAATTTTGACGCGTTGATGATGATATGGCATAAGTTGACTCGAAAAATTTAGAGCTTTGACTGCAATTTTGCTTCCTCACGTTTACTTACCGTGTTATTCTAGCAATAGCCAATATAAATTGGTTTGATTTGCAGAGCGGAGGCATATTGGAATAGGCATTCCGGGGAGGACGCCATATTTGTGTCTGGTAACGTCAAATGTGGGAATAATTGTAATAATAATGTCTCTTGTCGATCAGTCTATCCTTTGCGATCATGAGAAGAGTCAAAGGATTGCCCTCTTCCCCCCTTCCTTTTCTCCCCTTTCTTTTCGCCCCCTCCCCTTTCCCTCTCCCTTTCCGAACTGCAAATAGAGATTATGACAATAGGTTTGGATATCGAAATATCTAATTTTGGAATATATATATATATTGGATTACATACATTAGAGCATTACAGAATAAAACTTTGTTTTCATTTTACTGTAAAAAATCATATATTAATCTTCCTAAAATGCTCGTTGTGTCCGTATAATCTCGAAAAGCCATAAACTAATTAGTATGTTTCAAAAAGAAAGATTTGGAGAAACTTCAGGGGTTTGATTATTAAACATCTTACACCAATGCTCGTATAATAACAATGTTTTATCCTTGGTCATGAAATAATACTTGTTAAGGTCGAATAGATCCAATTATACACGCTATTAGCAACATTCCTCAAGTTGTGTGTGTTTTGTTACAGATGCAGCCATTGACTTTCAAAACGTCAGACCATAGACAATAGTTAGCATACTTGGCATTGTTCGACATGGAAACGACAAGTTAACAGATAAAGTAACAGCTCCGTTATGTCTCCCTTTTAAAGCTAGCTTTCCGAGTTAATTTCAACTTGAAATATGGTAATGATTTTCAATTATTTTCCAGCAAACGCTACATACTGCCAAGATGACCTCGCAAAAAATCATATGTGCGAAAAAGCAAATTCCATTAAGAAATAGTTTTTTGTGACATCTTTCTTGACCAAATGAAAGTCTACGCGTGACCAATAACTTGTTCAACTGTTGTGATGCGGACAAGAAAGGAGAGAAAATCGTATTAGTATCTCGATTGGAAGCTCGGTCATTTTAACCTGGCTCATCATGATTACAGTACCAGAGGCTGATCTGGGAAAATTTCCTTTTGCAGTATACTGTGAAAATTACCATTGTTTGTAAATTAAAAAATTAAAACTTGTTTGTGATTAATATGGAAATTAATGCGACACTCATGAGTTTGTTTTCAATACTTGACAGAACCAAGGAAAAAGCAACATACGAGGTTTAGTATTAGATTAAACAATGCAGAAAACTATAATATGGCAAGGTCGAGTAATCCAAACAAACTAATCCGCAAAAAAAAACAAGTCCCATTGCGTAAAATTAAAAGATGCAACCAATATATTAATATTAATTAATATATTGGACCATCATGTCGAGAGAAATGTTAATAATAATAAGCTTATTTGGCAGCCGAAAAAAGGAATAAAACGCACGTCTCGCGTCAGTTGTAGAAACATCCAAGGGCTTGGGTTTAATGATGGAAACTAAATAACCAGAGACTTGGCTTGAGCAAAAATCCCTAACCTGAGGGGTGGCAATCCAAGTTTGCTCCCAAATTATAATTGCTTTCATTCCCGGTGTGCGTATAATAATGATCCATCATTGCATTGAGAGAGAGCAATCACAAACATCATTAGCCATCAGCGGCGAACATATCAGGTTCGCGGATATTGTCCACACGTTAAAATCGTCTCTCTCGCTGTTACAACCACCAACACTTTGCAACTGCCACATATCGATTCCTTTCTTACTCTTCTGTGTCAACTTGGACTGTCGAAATTGTGGGGTTGCTGGCGCATTATATACGGAAGTGTTGAACGATTTAGCAGTCTGCTCTAATACAATTTGTCCCCGTTCCATCGCCAAACGGTGTGCATCTGGTGCAGGAATTATTTCTGTCTGCTTTTTGAGATTGCCGGCGTTGGTCGATTCAATATTACGCATGGAAATTCGAGACTTTGGCGGTTGAAACTCTTCTTCACTCGACGAAATGGACAGAGAAAAAGACTGCGAAACAGGTTCATGAGAGGGAAGCAACTTGGGTATAAGATGTATAGATTTTTCTAAATCGAGATAAGATGATGATTTTTTGAGAGCTCTGGTAGACTTTGATGGTTTTGTCGGATCATTTTCCGAGGATGTAGTTCTGGATGTAGTTCTGGATGGAGGACGTTTACATTTCATATCGTTGTCGATTGGCTGAAGTGCATTGGTCTGATTTGCTGACTTTCGACTGGCACCTGTCCTTGATCTCTTTTTCTTTAATTTGGTGTATAATCTAAACCTCTTTGAAGGTGCGAAAACGTCATCAGAAGAAGATTGAGACATGTTCCGTCTGGGTATTTAAAAAAAGCACGCGTCACTAAATTAGTTATGCAAGATATTTTTATTTGATCACGTTATACCACCGGCTGTACAGGAGCGAGAGTGCAAACCATTCAAACCCCGGAAATTTTTGGCATTCCGTTGGAGATCCGAAATTATAATAATAATGTTACACGAAAAATAGGCATCGGAAGAAACGATTTACCCAACATTTGCATAGAACAGATTATCGTGTTCATACGAAGAATGATGATGTTTATATGAATGTGGGAGTCAGGACATTCCCAATCTTCAAAATTGAAGAGCTTATTGTCTAGCGCGCTCGTAATTGTTTATTGTTCCGTATTTCATTTCCCTATTGACTTGTCGTCATTGTTTCGTAATGCATTATCCATGACATAACCAATCCGCCAAATCAGTCTAATTTTACATTCTTGTATATAGATTTTACAAATTTGTTTGCCGCAAAGTAACCAACAGAACCTTGAGATCGATTGAAATGAACACGATAATTAGTAAGCCATCAAATGTCGAGTATTTTTTAGTCCGATACATACCCAATACTGTAAATAGTCCAAAACAAATTATTGCCGTGTTGCCAAAATAAAACGATGTCTGGAATAACCCATACATTCTGAAATGGGTTATAAAGGTTAGTTTGAATCACTCTCAACCGAAATTACCCATGGCGTTCAAACTTACTTTGTTCGATACATATAATAGTATACGGCATAAAGATAAACATAGACAGAAGTTGATCCGCACGTCAGGAAACTAATCCAATGCCTGTAAACCATTTGAAAACACAGGTCGGTTATGGTCCGATTACTGACATGAATTCACCGTAGGAATTACTTACCATCTATGGTCTTCGGAATTGAGCAAAACGTATATGCTGAATACAGCAACACATGCTGTAACGACTAAAAGGATGATGAAAATTACCAGGAGGAATCCATACACGTAATAAACTTTGTATGCCCAAAATGAGGAAAATATAAAATATATCTCAATGAAAATTGAGATAAATGGCAGTATACCACCGAGTGCTATAATGACAATCGGTTCGGAATGCCTGTAAAAAAAAAAGACATTGATCAGTCACGTTTCAATTATAATATAGCCCGAATCAAATTTCATCAATCGGTAATACCAGGGTTTCTCAGGGATAGTTCGTGGTATTGGATTCACCCGACAAGGAAAATCCGGTTGGACTCCCAAACTACTCGCCAGTATGGAACCAAACATTGTCAACGGGATCACTATGAAAAACCATATGGCTAACATCGCCAACTACAATCGACGTTGTTAGGAAGAGGATGCGGAAGAGGGGGGGGGGGGAAAGTTAAACGTCCAAGGGCAGAAAACTAGTCAAAGACTTACGATAATCAGGAATGGAATAGCTCTTGAACTAGAATAGTATACTGCTATTGTATTAATAAAAAAAGTAACGGCGCTCGCGAAACCTGGACACAACGACGATGCAAGTAAAACCGTCTTTAATATGTCACGCCCTTGTAAAGACGAAAAAAATGTCAACCTCAAAAAACAGACAAACAATGAAACACAATTTCCCATTATACAGTTGGTCTCCATATACCTCCATAAATGCTGTATGTTCGCGTAGTCGTAAAGCCGGCAATAACCGATGTTAAGGCATACAGGAAAATCGCTGCTGTCAATATAGAATCACGCCTATCAAAATGTTATGTTCGTCCTTCATTAGCAAGTTTAAAGTAAGTTTACTATTCTCTCAAATTCTACTCACTCTGCGTAAAGCTCGCCAATAATTATGTACAAAATCAACACCAACGTAAGCCATATTAGTTGATGACCAGTTCCAACCAATGCAGAAAACAACATAAGTCGCGGTGGTGAACGGAATATGTCACCGTGGACTTGCTTCCATCCATATTCATCGCCAAAATCACGATCCTAACATTCAGGTAGGAAAATAACGAGTGTGAGGCGCAAGAGAATAGACGGGAGATTGAGGAAAACTTGAAAACAAGCAATAATGTACCAGATCATCAAGACTTTCCATTCTGTCATATCGGGCAAAATCGCGTTTGAGCATCCGGACCAGTAAGAAACTAACAGCACCTGTCAAAACAATCACTATCATGACAGAATTCCATATGGAGAACCAATGAACCTATATCAATTATATAATCGTAATTAGCAAACATCCAGGAAAAGAGTACTTTCACAATACCTAATTATTTTGCAATATGCACTTACCCTATGTTCAAAAAATTCCGCGTCCAAATACTTGTCGAATCGATCCTCAAACTTGGCATTAGTACTAACCCATTTAACCGAATATGATAAGCGTAAGGGAATTCTATCAGATTCCAAAGGCAGTTTGACAGGGGTTCCACTCGTATTGTTAACCTCAATTATCTATCATAGTCGACGAGTCATTAAAATTTTTAAGCAAACACGACCGGTGAGTAAATTGCTTTTTTTTTTTTTACCTTGTCGCCATTATAGCTTATGACAAAGTTGTTATGAGAATATAAATAAACATCTGTTGCATTGCGGTCCTCTACTCCAACGAATCCTTTAGAATGAAAGATAAACGATTAGAGAGTTCGTCGACACAGGATAACGTGTAAAAAGTCAAAAACGGCGTAAAATTCTATTACCCCAAATCGGCAAGTCATCTACATTAGAGGGAGCAATCACATAAATTTTGTTATTTTGTTGTTGCTATGACAGATAGACCCCCGCCAAAATAATAAAAATATGTATATAAAGACATGGCAAGCCAAGTCAAGCGTTCATACCAAGGAACATCTGATACCAATAATTGTTCGTTATTGCATATCGAAAGGAGCGTATATCTTTAGCAGTAAGCAAGACATCACATATTGTGGCATTTTCTTCATCGACTAGTCAAAATATCGAAAAATCACATTGAGTTTTATTAAATTATTAAATCACACTTCAGCACATAGCTATATTACCGTATTTTAATGATACTTTTGTTCACGAATCAAAATCAATGGCCCCAATTCGGTTAATTCAACGAGATCTATTCAAACATACCAAGAAACTTCATCCCAATTCCCGAGTTTACCAATTCCATTCCCAATAATGCCTCTCCCAAAGTCTCGTGGTGGTGTTCTACGACCTGTTCGCCACGACAATATGGTAATTGATAGTATTCATATGTCTCTTGTCTATTTGAAAGAGGTCCGACTGTGTTCATCCATATTATTACAGCTTCTCCTTTTTTGTACTATGCCATGTCATGATAAAAAGAAAAGAAGGAAACAAGAATGCCTTAATTCTGAGTTAGTCCGGATAATACAGTCTCGGAAAAGTAATACTTGGATAGAATGCTGTTTTTATGCTGAAGCGGTATATCTGCATACAAAAAGAATGTGCTTACTCTGTGCGTATGCTCATCCGCCGCAGCCGGTGACAACACGATCAAGACAAGGAGGAGCGAAAGACATAAAAGGTTCATGGCTTGATCGAATAAAGTTTAAAGGAGAGTAGAAAATGTCCGTCATAATACAGTGACTCTTAAACCACGTGACATTATGCATTTCGAAATTTGTGAACTGCAAAGAACTTAAATCGATGCTTGCTTGCATGTCTGTTGATGCATGTTCGATGTTGATAGATAGGTACTCGAGAACGTGCGAGATGGTTACTACATGATGCAGAAACTAACGTTATCATTGTTCGTGATAAGTATGAGTCATAAAGTATACTCTTGTTAATTGTAAATACGCAGGGACTAAAAATTTCTAACTATAATATTCGGGTTGTGTAAAGAAACTATCGAGCGACGTTTTTCTTTTGCAAGATTAATATTAATATAGTTAATATCGAACACGTGGTTTGACTTATTATTATGTTCGTGTAACTTGCTTACAACAAATCATTATGAAGGCATCTTGAATAAAACAAACATTTGGACTGTTGAGACATGATGAGACTGTATCCCAGATAATGACTCTGACCAAGACGAGTGTTGTTTTTGTCAGGCCATTCGTTATTGGCTATCTGCAATCCACCATCAATGTTATCTCGCTTGTGGGCGGTCGGTCTGTCCGAGTTTCACAGATCCCTAATACTACAGATCAAGTGTGTCAGCAATTACAATAATGGTGACTAAACCACGCGGATCGTGCACTGTCTAGGTACCACCAGTAGGGTTGATACTCTCTGAATTCATTAAGGAATCGAGTTTCCCTACGCACTGCAGAAGATCGCGTTCTGCTAACACACGCTCAAGAATCTTGCATTTATCACTTTCCTCCCTTTTCTCGAGAAGATGTCGTTGAGGATTTTATGATTAACCGTTTGGAATGCACCGAGCCATTACACAAGCTCCATTCAGATCAACAGAAGGATAACTTCCTTTAATTAGTTCATTATTTGAGTTGTGTCGCTATTAGGTGTGCATTTTATGAGGAGAATATACTTTTTCAATTACCTGCTTTAACTTTTCATGATTACATTAGTAGTATTATTATGCGTTCTTAAAACCCAAAGAATAAGACAACGACGACAATGCTACTTATGATGATGAACAATGGTGGTGACGAGAATGACGACGCACTGTCCTGCGGCGGTTCAGTACCGACAGGCTTAATAGTAAACGTCTCACTCTCGCCTAAGGCTTTATCACCATGATGCGGCATATCGCCGTTTGAAATGACTGCTGGGTAGGCCTTGACTACCCAATTAGCATTGTTGATGGCACCCCAAGCATTTGGCGGTATCTTCCAGTCATATTTCTCAGATGCGAGTGGAACAGAAAAGGCGGAAGGCTGTGTAATGTCGAACGAGGTATTTCCGTTACGTTGCTTCAATCCGAGCCAGAGGCTAATATTTGTTGAGACTGGACGGAGATGAAAGAGTTGATGCGAATCAGACAATGCAAGAAAGCTAATGTTATCATAGTAAGTACACTATCAGGTGGGAATGTCGCTTTCTTACCGTTACCAGAGTATTGCCACGTTATGGAAGCGGTCGCATTAGCTACAGCATAGTATCGAGAATTAGGTGTGATGAACGAAATGTCGGCTACAGCAGAAACGGCTAATATAACAAGAAGGAATGCAATAGAGCCGAGCCGCATTTTATGGGTGAACTTATTATTCGACGAGTGTTGCTACTCTACAACTTCTCCCCGTGTTTTCTACACCCAAGGTTTATCGTGTTGTGAAGCATGGAGCAAGGCAAGCAAATAAATATTAATATGAGGCATGTTATGTGTGACGACAAAGTATCGAACAGATGATATATTCGGTACGATAGAGTTGCGACTTTAATGATTGTATCTATGTTACACATGTAAGCGAATTAAACTTCTTACTAAGTGAAAAAAAAATTTTCCTATTGAGCCGTTATAACTTTTGATGTTCAGTGTCAATAGCACATATTCATAATAGATGCATGCAAATAGAAAAGGAACCGCGAAATAGAATTGGTGCAAAAATCGCCGTTCTGTAAATGGGCTTTAAAATCGAGATTTTAGGAACTCTAGATCTATTTTAGCATCTTCTAAAAGCACGTCGAAGAGTAGATTCTGCAAGCCAAAATCTTGTGCTATGCTATTTAAACTTGGGCGTTTAGTGCCAGCAGGATAATTTTCTAATTTGTCACGCGCAAGCACGAATAATCTCAAGTCGCTTAATAAGCAGCTTCCATGATAGTGACAAATTATTATGTTTTAATGTAAACCCCACAGAATAAAACGGTTGCATGCGAGCAATGTATTTCGCGTCTATTTTGTCACGCGGGAGGACATACAAATCTAGCTAGCGCCTGCATGATGTATGTATAATGTAGTTATAGTAAAATGTCTTAACTTGGACGAATGAAAACACATAATGTGCATAATGTATGATCGATTCAATTATAATTCGCAAAATTACCCCTGTAAATTTTATTGCTTTCATGCATAGTGAGTATGTGTTAAATCAAGGCATTTGGATAGATCAACGGATATTATTTCTGATTGGTTCATAGTACCATAGACTATAAACTGACATGCATTGATTTTTGCTTGTTGTAATAAAATCCAAGACATATTTGTGAGTATATCACGCGCAAACAAATCGACGCATCTTCACCAATAAACGTTGGACATCGCCGAAAGGAATGTGCAGCCCATTCGTTGAAGCAATTTATCTTGCTGAACAACGATAGGGCAGTTCTATTTACTACGTTACTGTTTCATGAAGAACTGGTAATCTCGACCCAAGACATAGCTCTGGAAAGCGGTGCAATGATTTGGGACGTGAACGTAGCACCAGTTACAGGCTGGTCCTCATTTGCATTGTCCTTTCTCTGAGGATTCATTAGCACCGAAGAAAACAGCTGGACACACTGTTCACGAATCGCGTATTTAAACGTGTAGGTCACATGCTCAGATGTAATCAGCAGCTTGGTTGCTTGCAAGCAGTCGGCTCCTAAAAGGCAAAAACTGTCCCTATTCTTTGGGCTCGCTCACTATTATTGCTGTCTTTCAAAATTCTTGTGTCGCATGAATTTGGCCAAAATTTTCTTTGCGCGAGAATTGCGAAAACGAGCGAAAACAAGCATTTACACTTTGAAAGCTTGGGCTTGAGAGCGATTACTAAGCGTATTCCGAGAAGAGAACAACTCTGCTTAGCTTAGCCGTACCAGCGATTACAGAGCGATTATGAATGATTATGAACGATTATTAAAATGTTTTGCTCACGATTAGAAGAAACCATGTGCATTCTTTTCCTGTATAGATTGAAAAACTTTGATACAATTATTTTTGTTCTGCTGAATCTGACTGTGAATTCACCTTGCCTTTATACATGGATTCTAGCTGCATTTACTTATAACAATATATTGAAAGCTAAGAGTTTTAGTCATGTTGCAATAGGCTGGAATTTCATTAAAAAATAGTCTGGATTGGTGCAATGAGTCATAGCTATAAATCAAGCAAACGTTACCAGTTAAGTTAGTTGGCGCATCAGCTTTCAGCTCGCATGATCAGATGTTCACATTGCCTGGTTTTGTTACAGTCTGCCCCATACTATAATTACACTGCGAAGAGTAATCGTTAATGAATAATGACATACACAGTGACATTCACTTTAACAAACTCTCACTTTAACGAAGATGGCTTATAACGAAGTATTTTTCTGGAACCGGTTCGCTCTTAACAAAATAATTTCAGATTAACGAAGATTTATATATAAAATGCTATATAACGATGAACGAAGAATTCAATAGATCATGCATAATAAAATCCATTCACTTTAGCGATATAACGAAGTTCGTTATAGGAATTAACTAATCAGAATTATCCATCAACATCTACAATATAAATAAAGATCTATATTGTTTCCTTCTATTATACGCTCGCTCTTTATCATTATGCCTTCCAAAAAACGTCACATTAAAGACAAAACATCCATGTCAAAAAGATCGCGAACAATACTTACACTTGCCCCAAAAAAGGAACTGTGTCAGAAGCAGCAGAAGCAATTAATAATATTGATAATCTTTTATTGTACATGCAACAAGAGGAGTTAAATATGGAATTGCAAAGCTTAACCAAGTTATGCAAGAGTATTCTTGGGAATATTTTATGCAGAAAAAAAGACAAACGAAAACTTTACAATTACATTAGTTTTGCATAAAATTTGTGTACATAATAAATAAAATAAACGAATTTTATTGGATATTCAAACCGATTAAATCACGTGAACAATTCGGAATAACGAAGATTTCAGATTAACGAAGAAATTCTGTAGCGTTTTATACTAAATTACTAATATGTTAAATTGCGCCCCACAATGTATTGTTTCAAATTCAAGTTTTACTATTTTTATATTGACTGAAACATCTTTTAACTACAAAACAGCTTTAGTCAGCTATCGTTGACAATATCTAATATTATTATTATACGATGATAGAGCAAATGCTAATTTGGTAAGATTAGTATGAGGGTTTAGAAACAAAAGATTGTCTTTTGATACCCTAAAGCGGTTATTTGTCTCACACAATAGTTGCGTTCACATGAATGTTCGTTATATGAAGAGCAAATTATGTATATTAATATGAATTCGAAAGCCGAGTTCGGATCCATTATAAACAGATTTACTAGTTATACCCAGAGTTATTAATTATAAAAAAATTGGTTCTGGCAATTTTGGTTCGTTATATCCAGGGTTCGGTATAAATAGGTTCGGTATAGACAGTGTCAACTGTATAAGGGAGTGTGACTACATAAGAGGATCCTTCCATAGTCACGTGCATACAAGACTATATAGACGAAGTCATTAAGTAAATAACTGTATCATGATCTTATGTATAATATTGCTTTATTCACCCGCATAGAGCTTATCATATTGCCTAAATATACTAAAGAGATTATTAAACGTCTATCAAACTATCCCTGCGAATCACACAGAGAAAAATCCATATAACAAATAAAATGACAAAACCGTTTCGCCAACGGCTGAACATAACATACAGTATATCAAGGAATCCCAGCGTTGTTTGTTTTTTACTCTTGTCTTCAAACATTCGAGAACAGATATCGTACGACGAAGCTATATGAAAAATACAAATCTCATTTTTAAGCGCATCACTGATGGATGTTCTTATTGTTTTCTGCGACATTTTTTTTGAGTAAAGAAGCAACGCCAAAAATCTTAACACATAGTGATGGACAATAATTACATGTCTGTAAATACTTTGTTCACGTGATGTGACGAAAAAGGAGGACATTTATATATATCTAATATTAGCCCGTGTCATGGAAGAGTGTGATAGTGACTATAGTCGAAATGTGCCTAAATAGGGGTAAATTTATTATAAAATTGGGTGGTTCCAACAAAAATGTGACTACATGAGGGTGGTGACTATATAGGAAGTGCTTATAAAGGGGTACGACTGTAATTAATAAAATTTGGGTGGGCAACACTTTTGTATTGCGCGTGTCAAATGTAGTCTTGCCGTCAATTGAGAGTATCATAACGAGTGAAATAAATGACGACGTGGAATAATCGCAGAAATGAATGGCTTATACGAACAATTATATAAACCTACTTACGTCAATATCATATGTATGTTTACCGCTCTAGTCAATTGAAGAGTTTATTGGCCTTATAAAACCACCTTAATGTGCGCGTTTCTAAAAGAAAACACGTTTTTGGTATTGGCATTGGTATTGTATTGGTACAACTAACATTATTATACATTACTTATTATCCACGAGTTTCGTATATAGGTGAGGTGTATAATAAAACCAATTGAGCGACTTTCGAGTTACCTAACTCCGGTTGTGATATAAATAAGATCAAAGATTAAATTATTAATATTGCAAATAGCCGAACAAATAGTTATTATGATTATTATTGTATTATCTTACTTCTACTTCCCAGCGATTTGATATTACGTAATTGTCCGGAGCAAAGCGAAGGACTATTACTGTCTACGCACTGTGAAAAATTCGATCACATAAATATTCTGTGCGGCACATGATCTCGACCAATGATTGTGATTGATGATGATGACGTTATTGATTGCTCCGGACTCACAACGGTTCCCGTTTCCTAGTTATCACGATTTTATTGTTTAGATATACAACGTTGCACCTCCTCACAATTATTTTACACATTTCTACAACTTATTTACACATTTTCTTGGTATTTAGACTGATAGTCTATTAATAGTGTCGCTCACTGTAAATGCGTAGGTCATGTTTATATCATATTACTGTTATCGATATTCACATCATAAAAATAAGTTTAATTAAAATTATACGCGTGGCTTATCGAAGTACAATTATTTAGTTCTTACCTTATTTATGAATATAATCATCTGAAATGGGTCTTAAAGTCAGCATTAAAAAATATATACAGTGAACCCTCCATAAATGCACGCCCTCGGGAATGGAGGAAAGCGTGCATTTATTATTATGCATTTAGAGAGGATAAGAATTTGATTGAATGCACGTGAAATTAGGAAATAATAAAATATCATTGGTTATTTATTATTAAAAATTTGATCCATCGTTGTCTGTTTCATTGCGGTTATCTTTTTTACATTAATGTATTTGTCAAGAGCTTTGACGTGTTTGAACAATTC